CCCCCTATAATAGTCAAAGGAATTAAAGTCTTTGTGGGCCTACGCTCGGAACTCATTGACCTTGTGGGTCCTAAAAACTTCACATTTAAGTCAAGCATTAACTGCCTCAAAGTCCAAACGAAAAATCCAGAATCCTACTGAGCAATGATCCATTTCTTACAAGGTGAAGAAGCCGAATTCCACACCTATCAAATGCAAGAAGACAAAGCCTACAGCATAGTTATAAGAAACCTTCACCCAACAACGAACACAGCAGAAATCAGAACAGCTTTAGAAGAAAAATCGGTTTTCAAGTACGCCAAATCACAAATGTCCTACATAAGACTACAAAATTAAATCTTCCAATATTCTTTGTTGACCTTGAACCTTCGGAGTTAAATAAAGATATCTTTCACTTAAACCACATACTTCATACCAAGGTAAAAATCGAAGAACCATATAAAACACGTGACCTAGTACAATGTATGAATTGCCAGGAGTACGGCCATACAAAAACGTACTGTGCACATACACCAATATGCGTTTGATGTGCTGAGCATCACATCACCTCAGCATGTGTAAAGCCTCGAAATCTTCCCACCAAATACGCACTATGTCAGGGTGAGCACCCTGTAAACTATAAAGGATGCCAAATTTAAAAGGAGCTTCAAAGACATCGCAACCCAAACTTAAGAACCATCCAACCAACTTCAATCAACAATCAGTCCTATCCAAAAACCACAGTGAAGGCTTCTTCGACTGAATTCAATCCCTCGTCCACGCAAAATAGAACATATGCAAATGTAACCTCAAACCAAGAACCTCCAAAATTCGACAATAGTAATCAATTAGACACAGGTACCTTATTATCTAAATTTATCAGTGACTTCCAAGCTATCATAAATCCATTACTCTCTCTTCTTACAACAATCCTAGCTAAACTTGTAGCCCAAAATGACAAATAATACCCCAACCTTCAAATCATTGCTCATACTTCTTTGGAATGCCAACGGTGTTCATAATCATATTGCCGAACTCTCACTTGTACTTCACGACAAACGTATAGATATAGCTCTGATATCTGAAACACATCTCACTAACAGAACAAAAATACACATTTCCGACTACACAATACTGAGATCAAACCACCCAGACGGTACCGCACACAGGGGAGCGGCGATAATTATTAGATCTACAATTATCTTTCATAACGTCTCACAACTAAGCGAACCCCATATACAATCCTTCACCATCCAAATTACTCTAGACTATTCTCCTATCTCCATCTTTGCAGCATACTGTCCCCCTACCCAAATCATTTCTACAATACTATTTGAGCAATTTTTCAACTCTCTAGGTAATTACTGTATTGTTGGTGGCGTCCTCAATGCCAAACACACCCAATGGGGGTGTCATTCTAACTTACCAAGAGGTAACTCTCTTAGACGAGTTATTACTGCCAAAAACTACTTAATTATCTCACCCCAAAACCCCACATACTGGTCAACATCACTCCGAAAGCGACCAGATATCCTTGACATATTCGTCGCTAAAATACTGAACCGATTTAACACCATCATAGATAATCTAACAAATCCTCACTCAGACCACTCGCCAGTACTTCTTACCCTTGACACCTCTCCTCTAAAAAGATTAATGAATCCATCATTAATCAATGAAAAAGTTAACTGGACAAAATTCCAATCGATATTTACAAGCAACATTAACCTGAACATTAGTTTAAAATCCCCAAACCAACTTGAGGAATCAGTACAATATCTAACAACAACAATACAAAATGCAGCATGGTCCTCTTGGACACCAAAAATAACTGATAATTACAATCAAAATAATCTCTCTTTGCCTACCTATTTAAGATCTCTTATTGTTCAAAAACGTCGTGCCAGAGCAACCTGGCAGAGAACAAAATATCCCACCGATAAAACCAATTATAATCACTTATGCACATTACTCAAAAGACAAATGGCAAAACAATGTTCAGAAGACTTCACCAAACAAACTAGCCTCTTATCCGAAAAAGACGGCTCTTTTTGGAAAACCACTAGAAAAATCTTAAAAATCAAAACAATGTCATTTCCAATTAAAAACCCTGATGTCAGCCTCGCTATAAACGATAAAGAGAAAGCAGAAGCACACAGACATCACCTCTCCCAAGTCTTTAACCTAAATGACTCCACTATTCCTTCTATAGAAAACAAAATATGCAATTTCCTAGATAGCCAACTCCCAATGACACTTCCACCCAAACCATTCACTCCTAATGAGGTAAAATCATTTATACGAAAATTTCCATTAGGTAAATCACCTGGACATAATTTGATAACAGCCGAAATAGCCCGCAAACTTCCCAACAAAGATATATTACACATAACTCATATCTTCAATGCTATACTCCGACTCTCATATTTCCCGATTCAATGGAAACTCGCCACAATTATTCTCTTCCCTAAACCAAACAAACCAATAGATAACCCCTCCTCATATAGGCCTATTAGTTTGTTACCTTTCTTTGCAAAACTTTTAGAAAAATTAATATNAACTAATTCCTGACACGCAATTTGGATTTAGAGAACTTCACTCAACCATCCATTAAATACACCGACTAGCCGATACTATTGCTTATTCTCTGGAAAAGAAACTTTACACTTCTGCAGTATTTTTTGATGTTGCACAGGCCTTCGACAAGGTCTGGCATCCCGGTCTTCTTTTTAAACTGAAATCGTTCCTACCCCCCTCATATTACCTCTTTTTTAAATCATACCTCAACGAACACCACTTCTTTTTCAGGTCAGGAACCGAATACTCCAGCATATCTCTAATATTAGCCGGCGTTCCTCAAGGCACAGTCGCATCTCCAACTCTTTTTAATTTATACTCTACAGACCAACCCACAAATCCGAATACTCAAATAGTCGAATATGCCGACAAAGCAATATATGCCACCCACACCGATCCTGACATAGTTTCATCTACTCTCCAAAGCCATCTAAATGACCTATCACACTGGTACTCCCTCTGGCGCGTCAAAATTAATGAAAACAAATCGGTACACACCACCTTTGCTCTCCGTCACAGACAACCTCCTCCGGTACATATAAACAGCAAACCAATACAAAACTCCGACACAGCCAAATATCTAGGTCTAACCTTTGACAAACGTCTAACGTGGGCTAAACACATTCACACAACAAAATTAAAATTAAACCAACGACTTTACTCTCTCAGACCTATTCTCGGTAAATTCTCAAAATTATCCCTTAAAACCAAAATTAACATCTATAATATTCTCCTTAAGCCTATCTGGCTTTACGGTATCCAACTGTGGGCCACGGCAAAAATATCAAATACACAAAAAATACAAATGTTCCAATCAAAAATCCTCCGACTCATAACCAATGCTCCTCCGAATATTTCAAACCACACACTTCACACAGATCTTCACATTCCTAAAGTCACTGATACAGCCAAACTATACTACTCAAAATTTAGGAATCGCCTTCAAAATCACCCTAATCTAGGGTGGCCATTCGTCCCGGGACATTACCGGTTTAGGAACCCATGTCCCGGAGTCCCAGACAAAGTTCTCGGGAAACCGATTTGTACCGGGTTTGGTCTTTTTCATAGTAATGTCCCGGAAATTAAAATCATTTTTAAATTGGTATTTCTTTTGCTTACTCGGTTATCGATTTAATTTGAACAAATCCTAATCGTAAATTATTTCCATAACGAACNATGTACAAAATACACTCGGGCCGCAATTTACGTATGTACAAAATATGTCCGGGCCGCAATTTACATACAAAATTACAAATGGGACGCAATTTACAGCGACCCAAAAAATCCATCAGGGAAAGGCAAAAGACTAATAGTTGTCCATATCGGCAGATGGGTTCGTGAGGGTGGTCTGTTGAATTTTGAGTCAAAAAAGAATTCAGCTGACTACCACGACTAAATGAATGGAGACACATTTTACGAATGGTTTTGTGGAATTTTGCCCCGATTGAAGGACAATGCCGTTATTGTCATGGACAATGCATCATACCATTCGGTAAAAAAAGATTCGGTACCTACAATTTCTTGGGAAAAAAATGATATAATACAATGGTTGGAATCTAATGGTGTTGTTATCGATAAACTGATGGTTAAATTTCATCTCATTGCAAAGGTAAATGAAATTAAACCTAGGTATGAAAAATACGTAATTGATGAAGAAGCCTTAAAAACAAATAAAGTTGTATTGCATATGCCTCCTTATCACTGAGAGCTCAATCCTATAGAGCTCGCATGGTCTGTAGTGAAAAATTACGTAAACCAAAACAATACAACTTTTAAGTTAAAAGATGTTCAACAATTATTGTATAAAGGAGTTTAGAAAGTGACGACTGACATGTGGGCCAATTTCGTAAGCCACACAATAAAAGAAGAAGACAGATGATATGACATCGACTTCATTAGTGAAGACATGTTAGAATCGCATGTAATGACAATAACTGGTGACACTTCTTCTGATTTTTCTGATTAGCAACTTATTTAAATTATTAATGTATATTTATGTGTATATACTAACCTAACCTAGCCTACCTACTAACCTAAACCTAACGTTTAGCGTAGCCCTCTATGGGGTAGAAATATGGACGATACTCAAAGCGGAAAGGAGAAATGATTGAAGTATTTGAAACATGGTGTTGGAGAAGATCACTGAAAATTTCTTGGACAGAGAAAGTTAAAAATGAGGAAATATATCTATGAATGAACGAACAAAAAACAATATGGAAGATAATCAGAGAAAGAAGGAAAAAATTAATCGGACATATTATGAGAAACAATGAATGGATAACGACAATAATAGAAGGAAAAGCTGAAAGAGGAAAATATAGGGAAAACCAATTATAAGGAACTAAAAGTAGCTGTAATGGATAGGGACAAGTGGAGAACCATCGAAGTTATTTAACCAATTGAAATAACAAAATCAAAAACAAAATCTTATACATCAAATGGTTAAATTTAATTATTTTTTTTAAAAATCAAAACATTTGAACATAATTTTAAAATATTATTTATGGCTATCCTATGTATTTTCATTGAATAGGAATTGCTCCTTCTGGCGTTAAAAAATAGTTATCAAGTCTATTATGTAGGCGAACAGCTGGGACCTGAGTAGTTGACGGTTGTAGTACACTACCATCAGGAATTTCTAGTATAACTTGTGTAACATTAAAATTTGAAGGTTGTTAATTTTTACCCTCTCGAAGGCAAATAAAATTATGGAGAACACACGCAGCTTTACTACTGTAATAACGCACGTTTCATCACAAGCCATTGGTACCTCAAACACACGAAACTTGAAGGTTAACATTCCTAAAGCGCACTCCACACCTTTTCTTCCTCTTGAGAGACGAAAGTTTAAAATTCTTTTAGCGTCATTTAAAACTCTCTTTGGAAAAGGCCGTAGTAGGGTCAGTAATAAAAGGAAAGCTTCATCAGCAACACAGTAGTATGGGAATGCCTCTTGATTCCTACTTCCAGGTAAACAGTTGGGGCTAGAAACATTGAGCCCACCTCGTTTCAGTCTCTTCCCAATTCATGAATTACGGAAAACTAATCAGTCACTATTCCGTCCTATGTCACCAACGTCAACTAAAGTAAAAATACCGTCTGCATCTGCCATAGTCATGAGTACTTACGAAAAAAAACCTTTGTAATTTATTTTTCTTGATCCTGTGTTCTTGAAGCACTTATTTCGAATGTGTTTGCCGTCAATTGACCCGATGCAATTCGGCAGATTCCAAAGCTCAAAATAGCACTTAGCATTTTCTCGCCACATTTCTTCATTTGGCATTGGCATGTACATTGATTGCAAAGCTGTCCAGATGGCATTACACGTTAAACGTACAATTTACCAATTGTACTTTTACCTCTGTAAAATTGCTGTGAGTAAAATTGTAGGTTTATATTGTAACCACGTTCAAGTGCCGGACGGCTGAACAATTAACATGTGCTTTTGTCACGCTCTTGCGTTACGTATAACTTAAAACCAGTAAAACATTTTTTTTCATCTGATACGCCCGCATTCGTGAGATTACGCCGGAAGTGATTCTGTAAGTATTACAGCCCGTTAGAGCTCCCCGGGCTCAAAAACCCCTATAAACACCGCTTCTTAATTAGTCCCACTAATTAACACCGCGATGAGTAACAAATCTCCATTGTTAAGGAAAACTGATAAACAAAAGCCATTAGTGCCACCGATAACAATAATCAACCAAAACTCTATAATATCGAAAGACGGGTCACCTTCAACTGCTCCCACTCCCAGTGATGATGATAATATTTTAGACTGGTCTACACCCTGGTCAACAAAGACAACCAAGATGAAAAAAAATAATCTAAATTCTCCAACGGGTACCTCTCCAAATCACAAACATTCAATCTCTACGTATACTTCTAAAAACAGATTCTCTCCACTTGCTCAAAACAATGACGACGTTCAAATGGAAACTGATACTTCAATTAATATATCACAGACAAAACTCCTTTTACCACTACCTATATTTATTAAAACAGTTATAGTGCAGTTTAATCTTTTCTGCGAATCCATTAAACAGTTGACTCAACCTGATGGTTTTCTATGCAAATCTTCCGAAAATGGTTTAAAATTAAATACATATACAACCGACTCTTATCGCAAAACTATAAAATTCTTGAAAGAGAAAAAGTCAACTTTCACACATATCAACTCAAAGGTGATAAATCATATAGAGTAGTAATAAGGCACCTCCATCATTCTACGCCTGTCGACACTATAAAGGAGGAATTAAATTCCAAAGGTTTCACTGTCAGGAATATTATTAACGTTCTGCATTATCAAACTAAA